TCACTGAAAGAGTGATCAGGCATTGGAACAGGCTGCCCAGGGAAGGGGGGGGGTCACCATCCCTGGAGGTGTTCAAGAAACGTGTAGATGTGGTGCTTAGGGACACGGCTTAGTGGGTTAGGTGGTGTGGGTTGGCAGTTGGACTTGATGATCCTTGAGGTCTTTTCCAACCTTAATGATTCTATGATTACCATGGCTCTTAATGATATCTTTCTTTTTTTGTTTTCTTTTAGAATGATTTGCATATAACAATTACAGAATTTTACACTTTAAAAAGAGGCTAAACTAGACCTGCAAGTAAATGATTTTAAGTCTGTTAGATAGAAAGAGTAATATAAATAATAATGTATTTTCAGATCGACCATGGAGATGCACCATCTGAAGCTAACAATGAACCCAGGCCAACACCAGCAGAAAATGGAGTAAATTACACTGCCTCTCTTACACCGAAACCATCAACTCAGGTTGTCCATAGCCAACCAGCACCAGGTAAAATAAAAAAAAAACCAAAGGAAAACAAAAAAACTCCCATATTCTTAAATCTGGTTGTTAATTTTTCATGTGCTTTGCATTTTAAGAATAAAGGGGGGGTTTATGTGTGTTGCTTTTATAAAATAGGTAGAAATTTTCCCACTACTTTAGTACACTGCTAGGGCCAGTCTTCTTCAAGTATATAAATATCTTCTGTTTAAGAGCTGCTTTTGTGGTTTTACTGAAGTTCACTATAAGCAAGAAAATTTGCTATGTGATGTTGTTGCAAGTGCAGGAATCTTTTTAAATTGTTCTTACAAATATGCCTAATTTATGCATGTAGTTATTCCACACACAAAATACAGTCTTAGATACTTATATATTTTGTGTTGATGTATCTCCTATAACAAATGCTTGTTAAACCACATTGTTTATAACTTTATGACTGCAGTCCTCATAGGCTTGATCTAACTGAGCTCCAAGGAGCTGGATTCATCTTGTGTACAGAAATTTTGAACTGACATCATAATATAGGGCAGTTGTACTAACCATCAGCCTAATACCACTTAAATGACTCATATGAGTAGTATCAGTCAGTTCAATATCATCCTCCTTATAAGTAAAACAGCAAAGCTCAGGTGAGTTTTCAGAAGGTTACCTTTTCATGTTGGTTCACAGGATTGGTGTTATTTTCCGTGTTGCTACTCTTCTGCTCAAGAGATGTGTTTTCTCAAATGATAATAAATGCCCATGTGAGTGTACGTCCTGTGTCACCTGCCATGTTTTAATATGCAGTTAAGCAGCACAATAATGGTTCTTGCTTTAGAAGAATTAGAGTTGGTCATCTCTTTTACCTTTAGGTTCAGTGAAAGCACCTGCAAAGACAGAAGATCTTATTCAGAGTGTCCTCACAGGTAATAAATATACAGTTTACACTGGATGAATGATACACCTTTTTTTTTTGTCAAGAAAAACGGGTTTTTATGAAGTAGGCCATCTGGCTTAGACATTTCTTTGAGTGATTAGGACTACAGTAACTCAGATAAAATATACATACCCTGTTTTCTTCCTTTTCTTCCTCAGCTTTGAAGTTATTAAATGTTTGAGAACATTTAATGAGATTGGTATTGGGTGCCATCAGGGAATTTAAAACAAAATATCCCATTTTTATGGTTTCACAAGCACCATATTACCATCTAATGCAAACAAAATGCCAGCACTATTCTGAGAACAGAAGCTAAATTTTGCTCTAAATATTGTGAATAGTAGTGAAACCATTTTATCTCCATTAGCCTTGCAGCACTGCCATTGCTCCCACAGAATTGAAATTAGAATTACATCAAGCAAACTGCTCTGTCAGTTAGTGCCCTACTGTTTAGATTGCAAATCTCATAACTCAGTTTATTTTACAGACAGTTTCCTCAGTTAGAGCCACCAACATTTAGATGTGGAAAACAGATAAGACCCATGAAATTCTGCATGTTGATTGCCTCTTCTTCAGTCTCCCTCATGAGGTAGAAAGAGGCTGGCCTAGATTGTCGAATTACCTGCTGGCCTCATACAGTCTGTTGTCTGGGAAAGGGTCTTCTGTCTGGCTTTCCCAGAGCTGTGACCCCAGATCAGGCAAGTCATTGTTCTCTCCAGCACTTTGTTCTTTTTTTTTTTTTTTTTGCTAATTTAGGGTGAGCTTGCAGAGGTCAGGCTAGCAGCTCCTGAGCTCGAGCTGTGATCTGGGTTCACAGAGCAGGATATCCTTCATAGCTGCTGTTGGAGTGGCAGTGCTGGAGGGCAGCTCTCAGCATTTAGCTGCTGCTTCTTTGCTGGACTGGCAACCAGATGACCACAACTCCTCTGATGCAGGGTCTCCATCAAGAGAGAAGTGAAATCTCTCCCAAGATGCTGTGATGATACCGGGACAGGTGCCTCCAGCCAGTGCCCAGGTCAAGGCAGGAGAGCAGGCAGCTGAAGTGCTGTTTGTGAAGGGGTTTAGGGATCAGCATGTTATGTAGCCTATCCAGAGAGAAGGGAGACTTGACATGTTCGTACAGGGGGTACAAAAAAAGATCTGTGGTCATATCTATATAAGATCATGTTTTTATATGTTGGGCTGCTGGGAATCTTTTGCATCGGAAAGGGCTTGAAGAAAGTACATGGTTTTTCTTTTGCTACACACCTTGGTGTTCTAAATTTTCATCTCACTTCTTACTCATATATCAATTAAAGTTGCCACAGCATTTTCAATCTGGTAAGCTTATTCTGAGATAAGTCTACTCAGTTAGTTTCCTGCTAATGGCAGTTCTGGGTTTCTCTTATTAGAAAAATGAAGTGGCTTTTGTTGTTATCATTTAGAAGTGGAAGCACAGACTATTGAGGAGCTAAAACAGCAGAAGTCTTTTGTTAAGCTTCAGAAGAAGCACTACAAAGAAATGAAGGATCTTGTAAAGAGGCACCACAAGAAAACCACTGACCTTATCAAAGAGCACACTGCAAAGTATAATGAAATCCAAAATGACTACCTGCGACGAAGAGCAGTTTTGGAAAAAACAGCAAAAAGAGACAGTAAGAAAAGGTATGTTGAATGTAGCTTTCCTTTTCTTGCTTTTGGAGATCTTTACTCAAGTCTTCTTTTGTAATAGACAATTAATACAGAGGTGACATTAGAGCACAGAAAAAAATTCAAAAGCAGCAAGATTCCTAGGTAAAATGAAGTTGGGGACTTTGATATGGAAATAATCAGAAAAATCCCTCTCTGTGATGTGCTGCTTCTCTGCTAGAAGCCTGATAAGTTGTTCACCATGTTATACCTCTTTCCCCGAAAATTAGGGCATGCAGTATTTATCTTCGCACTTTCCCTAGACCATGGGTATGGGTAGGTGACTCAGCTGGACTGGCAACAGCTGCCAGTGGTTGGGTAGAGAGCTTAATCACAAGCTATGAGACGGGGCATCCCCTATGTACTGGGACAGTTCAGGAACCAGACCACAATGCAGCAGCACTCAAACCTATCTGGATAAAGTGTAAAGTGTTTTTACTTTCCTACTCAGGTCAACTGCCACATATTTTATCAGAGCACCCCATCTTGTCCCATGCTGGCCTCTTTTAGGAGAAGGAGTGTCATGACGTTCCATTGAAACTTCCACTCCATACTTAATAATATAATTTGATAATGTAGCTCCTTTTTCAAGCATGGACAAGTTTTTGCAGCAGCACAGGTGGTCATCATGCCCATATTAAGCACTTGGTTTACTTTGGGCCACCACAGAGTGCTGTCTGGTGGTGAAAGATACCCAAGCATCAAAACAGGAACAAAACTTAGTCCTCTTTTATGCTATTTATGTATAAAACTGATCTTCTGAATGTGGAGATGAAGAACATTGTCTCCAAGTCTCCTGGAAGAAAAACCGTGCTAGAGTAGAAGGCAACAGATGTATAATTAGGTGAAAGAAACAGCTTAAAGTTATTAACATCTGACTACTGCTTAAATTATGATTGATCCAGACCACTTTGGGATCTCTTAATGATTGTTTGGCTTTGCTTCTTTATGCACACCCCTTCTGTGCTAGGTTTCTTTCTAAATCTTGCATTGCCCTGTCTCTTTCTGTGTGTTGATATAATTTTTATATTATTTAAGTAATAAGAAAAATGGAGAGTTGTATTTATCATTATCAGTTTGAAATGCAAAGACTGTTATGACTCACTAATCTTTCCGCAATTATTGTCTTGTTCATATGGTAAGGATCTATGTTAATAAAGATTAATTCTTAACTCCTGGCAAAACATATACATACATAGATACAATCAGTGTCTGATACTGTTACAACTGAATTATAATTAGATAGGGGTACCCTCCTAAATTTTAATTTCTCCCATTAGTACAGCATTCTCAGTTTAATTTATAAGTGTACATAAAATTGATCTAGCTGCAGTTCTTAAATATGAAGATGCTGAATGACCATTAAAAAAAAAAATTACTTGCTAGTTTTTGGTAGGAGATCATCAGAGAAAAAGGCTGCAAGCATGCTCTGGCTGCTAACCTTGTTGATCGTACCTCTCATTGTAAGTGACTGGGATTCAGGCCGTAACTTGTCCCTAGGAAGGAGCTTATTCATTTATGCCTGCCTGATGACATAATGTCACTGGGCTTAGTAAGAGCTTACTACTCAAGTATAAAGTATAAATCACTACTTCATTAGGAGTCCCTGGATCAGATTGCCATACAAATGTGTTGTCTCTGGTCAGAAACAATCTGTGTTTCATGCCCTTGTCTAAAATTGGGCCAAGATCCAGTAAAGCCATTGTCTGTAGGAAGTTTGAAGTATATATTTATACACATGCAGAAGTGTTTTGCTTGTCTTGTTCTGAAGTTTCTTTAATTAACATGTCCCTTAAAACAAAGTCTTAGTATTTTACCCAGCGCTTAGAAATAGGACTTCTTTCTTTTTCCCAAAAATACGTGAGAAATGTCAGCTTTAAAATGTATAGTGTAATGCCATACTATGCTGACTTTAATATTCATTAATGCAGTCTTCTGGCTCTGTATTTAAATTATCCTCATCTCTCATACCAACACCACTTAACCTCTTAGCAGAGTATTCAAATACAAGGAAAGTACAAAAAATAAAAAGAGGCTAGCTTGGTTCGTATCCTCAGACTGATGAAAGCAGCTTGACATTATTTCAGTTGAAGTTACTCTCAATTAGAGCAACAGCAGCTGCAAACTTGAACCCGGGAGAGAAAACAGAGGCAGCCACTGTAGGAAGTTCTCTGCATTGTAATCTCTGCAAATTTCTGAGTAGCAAATTCATTTTTCTCACAGTGTTGCCCTTTCTGTTCACGGTTTTGCTGTTCTGTCCGTCTTGTGCACTGTTCCTGAGATTTCCCAAGCAACTGATGTAACACCTGATTACAGCAGTAAACACAGCAGCAGAGCAGGGACACAGCATAATTTATTCTTCTAAATGTTTTTCTTGGTGTTAGTTTACTGCTGGCCTGAGAATGATACTGCTTTTGCTTATTTTTTGCTGAGAAAATTCTTAATGGGCTGCATATAACCAGCTGCCTTAAAAAATAGGTTTAAATATGGGGCAGATTGTACTTACCAGTGACTTAGACCTTGGTGGTGTGTGTGTGTGTCTTTACAGGTCTGAAACAGGCAGCCCAGACCACAGCTCTTCAACTATTGAACAGGAATTAGCTGCTCTGGACTCTGAAATGACCCAGAAGCTAGTTGAGCTGAAGGAGAAGCAACAGCAGCAGCTGCTAAATCTCCGACAGGAGCAGTATTACAGTGAAAAGTACCAGAAACGAGAGCACATTAAGCTGGTACGTTTGTTTTGTCATCTGCTTTTCTTTAGCGATCTCAGGGTGAGTAATGAAAGCAGCATGACATTATAATGAAGTGGGGCTTCTTCTTATGTGGAGTCCATTTCAGAGCTTAATTTCCCTGTGGTCTGCTGCAACTTCAAGGGGTTGTTGTGTCACTTTGTCACTAACATTTCGAAGAACTTGGAAAGCTTTGGATGGAAGGCGGAAAAGCAACAGGATTATTACTACTGCTAATGCAGAATCCTTACCTCTAGCTACGTAAGTCTCAGTTTATTGCAGCTTTTGGATGATGTTCTCATTTTCTTCTGCCACTTTTTTTAAACGTATGGCACTCAAGGAGGCAGGATTAGCTGGAAAATAAATTGAAACACCATGAAAATAAATAAATGAAAAATACACGCAAACGTTCCCCAGAGTATAAAGTTGTGCCAAACAGTGTTCCTGTTGCAGATGAATGCTTTAAGGGGATGCAGGACATTATCTGTATATGGTGAGGAAATATCTTGTGTCCATCAGTCCAAGCCAGCTTGTGTTTTTACAGCTGGAGTTCAGCTGACAACTACAGCAGGATCATAGGCCCTCTGAGCTGAAACAGAGGAGCTTGGGCAGATGGCAGCTGATGATGATGGGTATTCTCAGGCAGAAAAGAACATTTTTAAAGGGTGTTACGGGAGTGCAAGCTGTTTCTCAACTCCAGATAATCCTCTCTCACAATTTTTTTCTATTATGTGATGTTTTACCTCATTACTGCTGGATGAAGTGATTTGTCTGCTCTGCCCTGCCATCCAAAAAGAGCAGGTCAGAGGAGTGATACACACGTATATTGCTCAGCAAGGCCTTTTCACAAGTTCATTCCCATGGATTGTAGCACAGAGCTGTGGTTCCCAAGTGGTACCCTGTTTATCACCAGTTGTATGTGAATCACTTCAGCATCACCCAACAGGAGCTGCTCCAGTGTGGGTGCATGGACACAGTTACCTGTGCTGCGGGGAGGGAGCCCACATTCAAGTATCAGTTGTTTGCTGCATCTCAGGGATTTTAATTTTTATGAAGAAAAAATGTTTTGGACCCACATAATTGAGCTTGTATTGTAAGCTAACTAATTTCTCATTTCAAAATAGGAAATGGCATTTCTCAAAGCAAAGTTACATTTTCAGCATTGTCCAGTTAGGTAGTGTCAGAATAAATTCTATTTAGCACAGAACTTTCAGACAATTTTTCCTTTTTCCTCTGAGCTGTGCAAGAGTTAATATTCTGATTAAAATCTGCTTTGCAGACAAGAGATTCTTTTTGATGTTTTTCTTTTAGAGGACAGGATATTGTCGGTATCTTTCTTCTTTTGTCTAAGGAATGAGAAGCTGGATCAGAGTAGCGAGGCATTATTATACCTTCTCTGGTTCATCATCCTGAGGATAATTTTACAGAAATCAGACTTAAACTAGAGGGGCTGATCAAACCAAATTGGTCCCATTTCCCACTTCAATTCACCATTCATTGAACTTGGACACAAGTCCTTCACATCAGCATCACCACCACAAGCATGCTTTTTATTAGCCGTTTTAAGCCGAATGAGGTGGGACCCAGCACTGCACAACAGATTTCAAACCGACGACTCAGATTTTTTGGATCCATCATTCTGTGATCAAAATATAGGCTATGCTTATATATAATTAGATTTCTTAGCTCTCATGCATGAATTTTCAATATCCGTCTGAGCACCCTGAAATCCAAGCTCTTCCAGGTATTAATGCTCAATGCAAGAGGAATTTTTTCAGCACTTGCAGATAACATTGACTATTCAGTGACACAGGAATTCAGTTTGTAATGTATATTGCATAAATTCAGTTTGTGACCATTTATGAATTATCGTATTTTAATGCCTAGCAAAGGTAAAACTTGCAAAATATGTTTTGGTTTTACATTTAATGTTCTGAAACTATATCACCTTGATGTACAGAGAAGTAGTAGTTTCTGTGGAAGTCGGATGTATGTAAGTCTGGCTGGACTCCACAATATAAGAATGCATTTACACTGATAAGAATGTTTACTGGCTTTTGATCGTTGGTAATTAATCAGGGAATTGTGTAACACTTTCATGTCTGCTACAGACTTTTTAGGAAAGTTAGATACATGTATGATGTTTAGCTGAAAATACTTATTTTTGTTTCTTGGGATTTTTTTTAGCTTATTCAGAAGCTGACAGATGTAGCAGAGGAGTGTCAGAACAGCCAGCTAAAGAAACTGAAAGAAACGTGTGAAAAGTAAGCTGCCATTCCCCTTATAATTGATTACTACTCCGTGTGGTTTTTGTTTAGATACTTTTTGAACTTGCCTTTATTGTTTATGCTTTAGAGAAAAGAAAGAATTGAAGAAAAAAATGGACAAGAAGAGGCAGGAGAAAATCACAGAAGCAAAGTCCAAGGATAAAAATCAAATGGAAGAGTAAGTATATCCCTAGATACATATCCTTATATGTTATGAGAAGACACAAGATTTTTCACAAATGGAAAATCAAAGAAAGATCTTAATCCTAAATACAAGGCAGTTTTCAGACAGACTGTAATACCTCACCAGAGCAGTGGAGTCCTTCTTCCACTGATACAAATTTCATTTCCTGGGACTGATCTAATCTCTTGTACTGCAAGCATTGAGGGTCTGGGTCAGGTGCAAAGGTGCTGATGTCTGGTGTGGGGACATGCCTGTGGGTGGCATGATGGAGTGATTCACCAAGGTGCTGTTAATCCAAACACTGTTCTTCTGAGAATAAATGGACTCAGTGGTTTCAGTTCCTCTAGGGTTTGATTTCACCTTAACTTAGGTTTTTATTTGTGAGTTATCTTTTCTTCTTAACTCTGTTAAAGCTGCACTCCAGAAGAAATAGCAGCAACACATTGGAAGGTTCGCTCCACTTTTGTGACAAATTCCCCTCAGATGCACACAATGCTGTGCTACTGATTCTGCTCCAGTGACAGTGTTATGCAGTGTTCAGTTACTTGGGGCAAAAGGGAGAGGAAGGCTGAGCTCTGAGGGTACAGTTTCTGTGAACAGGGACAGGAATATTAATTTAATTTATGCACCGCCAGACAACACAAACTGTAGTTGTGCAAGTTGATTATATTCTTCCCAAGGGCACAGTATCTAGGTTTGTTTGTCCTCCTTCATTTGTTTTGGCAGGCAGCTGAAAAATAAAATGGGACATTTTAATCTCACGGTGTTTTCTGGGATATTCTTGTTACCAATCTTTATTTTAGTAACATTTAAAAACAATTAAAAATACAGAAGGAAGAAAAAAAAAAAGAAAAATCCAGAAAATCAGAGTTTTACCGTGTAACAATGGTTCAACTATGGGTTTTCTGCAGGTAAAAAGGTTTATACAGATTTTTGGAGCTTCTCAATGTAGAATCTGTGTACTTGGTAACACTGAATGAAGGTCACGCACACAGGGAACTGCATCAGATAATTTAAAAATTTATATTATAGAATTTTAATAAACCTCCTAGAAAAAAGATAGCAAAATGAGAATAATTGATTATGTAAAAAAGGGAGAAATACTTAATGTGGTTAGAACTGGTCAGGGGACATGGGAGTCATATTAGAAAGAAGTAGTCATTGCGACAATGTTATAGCAGTAAAAGTCAATTGCAATACAAAATGATTTGTTGAGAGGTTAATGAGACACTAGTGAGAACAGCTCAGAAAAAGACAATTAGAAATTATTTTCTGTTTTCCTTTTTTTTTTTTTTTTTTTTTTTCCTGATTTTCCCAAGGGCTTTCCTGTGCCAGGCTTTTCAAAGACCCCTTGGGAAAGGTGAGATGGGAAGTACATGGGAAACTCAGCTTTCCTCTGTCAAGTGATACCGTTTGCCCTTACTCTCGCAATAGGACAGAGGGTAGCGAGACCTCTTGAATCCCATTCGAGTTGTTTGGGCTAGGCTGTTGTTTGTTTAAAGCTTTTACACAAAATTGGGAAAGAATATTACACAGAGATAATACATTGTATTAATTGTTCTTACTTATTTTTTCTAATTCCTATATGCACCCAGGGCTTTTGTAACTACTTAAAACCATCAGATTTTAGTGCCACCTGAACAGCAATTCAATGTTCTTACCTTAGGCAATTAGGTTTTAGAGTGCTGTCCTGAATCTAGTTGACTCAAGTACCCCCAAATTGGTTTTTTATGTACATTTATCCCTTTGGGGATCTCATCTTCAGCCTTTGACCAATAGTTACCTAATAACTATCTCACAGAGTCACTTATAGTTCAGGTATTTCCTCTAAGTTCAGCTTTATGTAGTTTACACAGAAAAGCTGGGGACCAAAATTGAGTCTGCCCTCCTCTCTGTGGGAGCTTTGCCATCATCTCCAAGATGTCGTCAGCGGTATCTGCTCGCTGACAAAGACTATTTCTCTACTATATAGTGTGCCACAATGGGGCAGTGTGCATCTGCAGATCATCATGCGCTCTCCTAGACTGGCATTTGGGCCTTAAGAAACACCACCACTGCTGTGAAGGTGTGGCAGTACCCTGGGGAAAGAGCCTGCTGGGACAGAGCGGGAGGTTTCTGGTGGTAGGTCATGGGGAAGTCTGAGCCCTTCATACAATAAAGATGCAGCCTGTTATGAAAGGCCCATTCAGGAAGTTGATACAAGTAGGCAGGTCTGTACAGTCTAAACATAGCCTTACTTGTTTTGTAAGGAGTTGTGGTGGATTGAAATATATCTGTGTGATTGTGTTGACTACAATAACTTGTTGATTGCTTCTCCACAGAGAGAAGACCGAAATGATTCGATCATATATCCAGGAGGTGGTGCAGTACATAAAGCGGGTATGTCAGGCCATATATTCATTCCTCATTTTGGGGGGTAAAATGTCAGCTTTCGTACTTTAGGTCATAATAACTCAGATTCTAAGCTTCAGTATAAAGATTCTCGAACCACTAATTTTTAACAGATGCAGTGTAGATGTCTTTTCACATTCCTGTTACAGGAAAACTGGAATTTCAGACAGATCTTGATTAATTGTTAGTCAGTGTTTGGGGGATGGTGCTAAGAGGGGCAGATTTCAATACAGTTATGATTTAATCTCTGAATATCCTGTGTTTATTCATGGAGAGTGTACCATTTCTTTAAATTGTCTTGCTGTCTCATGAATGCAAAGATTACATAAAGAACTCTGAAAGTCAATAAGTTGCAGAGTATATTTTAACTTTAATTACATTTGTACAGTTACTGAAATGCAAAAAAAACATTCTATGAGCTCTGTAAATACAAGTAAAAGAATTTCATTACAGGTGTTACACATGGCTGAAAATGTGCACCGCAGTGTTTTGATGTGTGAAATCACTATGAAACATATGCCACTGTTGAATTTTCTCTTAATTTAGGTGCAGAGAGAGTTCAGTTCAAAGTTGGCCCATTTCTGCTCACAGAGGCCTTGATTCAGGAAGCAACCTAAAGAATTAGCAAATTAAGTATGCTTAATTCCTGTTGGAGTCAGACACATGTCTGAGTGCTTTATTAGATGAGGCCCAAAATTTACCAGCATGTTCATTTAGGACTCCAAGATACAATTCCTCTTCTTCTGGGAACAGGGTCCATCTCGCACAACTCCTACAATAAAACCTAAAGCAAAATTATATCGCTTGTAAAAATGCATTGTGCTTTTTGTAGCATTAGAAGCCTACAATAAGTCCTTTAGACCTTTCTGATTCCTAATCCCAAGTGTGAAATCTGAGATATATTGTCCACACACAGCTGTTAAGAGGAGTTGTGCTCAGGGCCGGTTGTGACAATGTTGTCTAAGTTTAGATGAGAATTATTCATTGTTTTGATGATAACATTTTAATTTTGATGGATGAAATCTTAGCTGGGGAACAGATGGGAGAGTGAGGATGTGCAATCTCTAAAAAAAGATTCCCTGCTATTTGCTTACAGCTAGAAGATGCTCAGAGTAAAAGACAGGAGAAACTTGTAGAAAAGCACAAGGAGATTCGTCAGCAAATACTGGATGAAAAACCTAAGGTAAAGAGTTTTTCAACAATTTTATACTGCTAAAAAACATCCTTCAGGAAAGAAAGTGTTCTTACAGCAGGTAGGCTGATGTTTAAACTTGAGAAAGTCCATTCAGAGCATCATAGCCATTGTCTTTCATATTCAGGATGAAAAAAAGTCAAGTAGCAGCCTAGTATTGAGCACAACTTCAAGTCCAAATCTCATATAATGGGGTTTATTTTTTAATACTCATATTGTTAAAAAGCTTTCAGTGCAAATGGTGCTTCTGACCAGCAGAGTGTGCCCTTCACTCTGTTGTGCTTTAGCAGTACAGAAATAAAACACAGTTTACATTGAAAAGAAAAAGAGATATCTTCTTAGCATGCTTGCCGCAGATATTTGTGATACTTGAATGGGATATATTTTTTGTGGAAAACAATTAGCATTTTCCTAATATTAGGGCTTAATACTCTACATCGCTTGCTAGATTTCCTCAAGTTGACTTTGTACATTGCACCTATGTGTAATACTCTGAAATACCATTTTTCATACTCAGGATTGCAGGCTGATACTTGCTCCTAGTGAAGCTGGTGGTAGTTTTGCCATTGATTTCAGTAGAGGGGGTTCAGCGTTCTCCACTCTTACACAATTTTCCTGTAGGAAGATGCAGGGAACTATATAATCAGACTTCTGTACAGAGGGAGGCTTGTTTTCAGCAGAGTTCATATCCAAGTATGATTCTTCACAGCCCATTGTGTCATGTCTGCTTTCATTTTTTTCTGCACTTGCTCAAATATGCGTTCTAGGCTTCACTCTTCATTTCTTGTCTGTCACAGTTCTAATGTTTCCGTGTTTGTATTGCAGCTTGAGTTCTAGCATTGGGTGTCAGCTAATCAGCGTTGTCATGTCATTTCTGTGTAATAACCAGAGAATAAATTAGGCTAAGGTTTGAATAACTAGAAGTTTATAATAGTTTAGAAAAATAAAAATGTTTGCATTTCTGATTTTCTACTCATCTTTGTAAAATCATGTTTATAAACAAGCTGGAACTTTTCAATGTCGTGGGCATCTAGGTGTAAAGAGTATACTTAGTAATATGTTTTATGTTTAATGCTGTAGGATCATGAGCTTCTGAGGCACATGAACTATAAAAACCTGGAATTTAAATACTGAAAGTATTTCAAAGAATAGTGTGTTAGTACTTCTAACACCAGCCTTTCACAAATACTTGGTCACTGGATTGCTTCTCTGTGTCTGTGTTCCTTCTTTTTTCTTTTTTTCCTTGATTTTTTAAAAATTTATTGATTCACTGAGAAGTAGCATATAAGCACTGAAAATTTATCTCTAAAGACTCGGGCTGCATTTTGAAAGATTGTGCTGGGCCGGTAGTGTTAGACTCTTCCATCAGCTGTGCATGTGCCAAGTATTAGGTCATGGCACAGAACAGCTCCAGATCCCTTGTCTTCCCCTGCATCTGGCCATCAGTTAAAGCACTGCAGTAATCGGTGCTCCTCAGTCAGCGCTCTCAATTTCTCCTGAGAAAACCCTCTGCAGTAATGTGCTTCACAGGGCCTGGCTGCAGTTATTTTTTCCTTTCCCACATACTGAAATGAGCAGACTTTGCTGAATTTATGATGGTATGTGCCTCTTGCTGGCATGAGAGGATTTAGGCAAAACATAATTACTCATTTTATTAAGTCGCTTTTTATGTTTTGCTTCTTGTTCATATTTCATAGCCATATTTGCTTCCTTAGTGACAGGGCGCATGATATAAAATAGATCAAATGATTTCCCAGCTGAGAAGAACCAATGTATTTTATGCAAACAGCAGCCTCTCTAGGGGCAGCTTTTTTAACAGGCTAGTCTCTCATGCTTCAGTATTCAAACGCCCACTAAAATTCATGCGAGCTGTGTTAAAAGGGTTTTCTGGCAGTATCAACTCAACCCCTAAATGAAGAGTTTAATATATTAAGAGGGAAAGAATTTTTAGTATTTTTACCAATAATTCTATTGGAGACAGATTTGCCATCATCAATCACTGTCATTTGGTTATTTCTTAGTGACTCACAGTTTGTTTTGTTATGACTTTGTGCACAGAGCTCTGTCCTAGCCAGGAAGAATATAGTTTCGCAAAGTGTTGCCAACAGACTGCCACACCAGTGAGATTTTTTTTTCTTTTTTTAAAAAAAGTATGAGTTTGCAGCTTCCTCTGTTGTGGTGTGCATAGGTCACTGAGGAAAATTTGCCTTAGAGTGCTGACATTTTAGACAACAGTTTTTAGAAACTGCACAAACTGGATGCAAATTAGTTCCCTGTAGTGGAGGCAGGTTTGCTTTTTGTTTAAAATATCATGTGTTTAGATGAAAATACTTAACTCGTCTCCCTCATATATAGAATTTCTTTTTAATATTTGGATGTGAGACTGTTTTGCAGCTTTCATTTGGAGGGCTATTGTGTAGCGAAAAGCTTTTGTTCTCATGTGAGAGTTGGAGACTTTACTTCCTGAACCGATACTGTTAGGCAAAAGGTTGGAAATTGTTCTTCAGCTTCTTGTGGTCCTGATGAAATTAGAGCAGGCATTGGCTTTAATACGGGCCCAAAATATCTGACTGTATCTGTGTAAGTAATGAGGATATTTTTATGACAAACTAATCTCTGATGCTGTAGAAACTAGAAATTGAGTATTATCATCAGATGTGTGCGTGTGTGTGTGTGGAAACAGGCCAACCACTCCCACAAACATGTTTGGAAAAGGAGACCGTCACCTAATTAATAAGTCAAATACTGACTCTATGTCAAAAAATTTCTAACTTACCATTTTAGTGAATGCACAGTGGAAACAAAAGTTCAAATGCTCTCCTGATGCTTTTTCCTAACAGCATAGTTACCAAGCAAGGCCATATGTATTTTCTTTTCTCTCACACAGGTTTTTTTTCCTTACATTATCTACTGTCAGCTTTATTATCAGCAACAGCTTGTATTAATTTTCTCCCCCATTCTAATTCTTTGTCTCCTCCTCTTAGTCACATAAGCTTGTCCTGTCTTTATTTTCTTCCCCTTGGGTATCTCTTCTGCATGCTGTGGAGGCTGCTGTAGAAACAGAGCTCTTTACACTGCAGTACTGAATCCTGTACATTAGAGCAGTGTGTGATTTTTAGATCCTCTGCTACAGCGTATGTCTGGCACTCATTATCTAAGCACAGAGGAGTGCATCGAGGATGGGCATGATCATTGTATCTCAATTTCTTTGTCCTTGACAGCTGGTGCATCAAATTAAACATAAATCAAGTGCATTTCCTTCCCCCTCATCCTTTCCTCCGATTTCATTGTAATTACAAAAATCAATACACATGAGACATGACAAGGAATTAATTATTTTTCTGGGAATCGACTTGGTTACAGTAAATAGACCCAAGCTTCCTCTCATTGAAAGCAATGCGTCTTGTTATTCATGCTCATGGGTCAGAGTAATGCTTAAATCTTAATATAATAGCTGAGACTCCTGTGTTCTTGCAGTCAGCTCCTGCTCCCAGCCGAGTTAACTGGACACTTTTGGCTTCAGTGGACCACATTCTTACAGCCCCAGCCGTCAAGGAGGATTTAACTCGTGCTTCCTCATTTTGTAGGCCATGTTCATGTTTCTGTTCACACCTACTCTACTGTTCACAAACCCAGCTTAGTAAAGGCCTGACAGATGGTGTGGGCTCCTGTAGAGATGTGGAAAATGGCACCATTAAGGGTGAGGCTTTATCTGTGGGAAAAGGTGCAGCAGATCTACAGAGGTGCCATAAGATGTGCAAACTTTCCTGTAAGTGTTTCATCTCTCTAGTCTTTCAAGTGAATGAAGATAAGACAGCCTTATGGTATAAAATTCCTTTTTTCCCTCAAAAAGTATAATGAAAACAATTTATAAAGATTATGAATCGGTTCTTGATAATGGAAAATAAAAGTATGTGATGCATTCTAACTCACTTTCAAAGAATGCACATTTATTATTTCACAGTTTGACACGTGTTATTAATTGTACCTAATGGGAGTTGACACTTCTACATCCAATCAATAATTAGTATTAGCACTGTACCTGAAAAATTTAGAGGGACATAAAATTATACATATTCAAGTTATAAAACAAGTTAAGGAGATACTGATCATTTACAGCAGTAAGCCTCTCTTAACTCCAGGGTCATCTTTCCATTGCATAGGGCTAGAAAGGACCTCCAAGGTCTCTCTTCTTGGGGATAGCTGTTTTTACAAGCAATCACATATCATATAAGCCTATTAACGAAACAGTGCTGGACAATGACTCCTTCCTTCTGAGTGTCATTTAAATGAAGATACTTGAAAATCCAATTAATGGTTTCGTAGATTTCTGGTTGATGCTTTCTGATCTCTTAGGATATCCAAAAATACATTGATCTTTGCGAAGGTTACAGCTTGTAAATATGTGCTTTAGGTAAAAATTTGTGGTCATCTGCATGCAGATATGTTGAGTTAAATGGAGCTGTTACTGACATTAGGGTCAGCAGAATCACCTCTCTAACTTTAGAAAGAAGTCAAATACAGCAAATGTATTTTACAGCACTGTTAAACTTTATTTCAGTTAACCTCGGAGCTCAGAGCCACTCTATTAGCTCATCTGGAAGAGAGCAGCTCTTAGGAACTTTGATGACTATTCCAGTGTACTTTCAGCTCACTGCATAATTTACAATAACAACGGACTGTCCACGACAATCCCTTTTTTTATCCTTTACACCTTTGTACGAAGCCAAACTGTCTTTTGCGCTAGCTGCACTTAACTCAAACCCTTCCAACTGCATTCCAGTTCAACCGCAGGCAACTATTCAAGAATTCTGGGGAAGCAGTTTGGAGGAAAAAGTTTTTAGTTTACTGAGTTTCATGGGACTTTGCATTGCATGGATTTGGATCCAGTGAGGGAAAGTTGCCCTCCTAAAGTAGTATTCAGACTCACTGAAAAAAGTAATAAAATTTCACTGGATCCAAATCCATGCAATCAATTACAGTTGATAGCC